AAAAAGTCAAGAAAAACTGGGGAAACAAAAGCTCAAGAAGGTACCATATATTAGGTTATATATATAACAATATATATAACAATAGGCTGTATTGTTATTGCTTAATGAAGATAATTAAATGCTCAGGGTTGGAGCAACAAAGGCTGGGAGTTTACACTTGGCATTTCCTTTCTGGTTTTGTTCTTCCTGCAGAAGACACGCCCCCTCGTGGGGAGAGGTTCAGGCCCATAAACTACTGGTCTCCCTTGACAGTTTTGAGTGTTTTGGGTATCAAGAAACAGCTGCCACAAACCAGCTTTCTGCTTCTGAATTTCTCACTTTTCAGTGCCTCCTCAGATGCATCATGCTTGCCGTACCTCGTGTAGATCTCTGTTGTGGGGAGGATGAAGAAAAGCAGCAAGCCATAAGGCTCCCGAAGAGATGATACTACATGGTTAACACAGTAGAAATAGTGTGGAATTGGTTCCTTCAGCTGTGTCAAACACATTAGTTTCAGCATCTTCATGAAACAGAGGAAAACTGCCCTAAAGAGAGCACTGCATAAAAGCTTGCTTGTGACAAGGATAACAGGACACAATTTCCTGGATCTAAATGAGCATCCTATGAACCAAAAGCATCGTCACTATAGGGATCTCTGCACTGAACTCCTTATTGGCAGGATCTTAACCCTTGTCTAAGCTATAGTAACACTGAAATAATCCTGAAAATATTTTCAGGCTCTTAAAAGCCTTTTTTCTCCTTATTTGTAATGCTGATTTGGCCATTACAAACACAATGCAGTTACCTATATGTTCTCCTTGCCCATACCTTGAATGAATATTGTTATTTATTAAAACTAGTCATTTCAAAACGCCAAAAATTTAAGTGACGTGGATCGTAAACATCCACCTACTGTTACTACCATGACAACAGATCTTCAAGTAAGGTAACAACTCCACTGGAGTTACGAAAACTGAGACTATCAAATTGCATTCAGTGTGAACAGAGAGTGAGGAATAACAATATGATACCTCGTGACTATGAAACACAGGGTGATAGTCCCCTTCCTCCCTTCAATATTGAGATACAAGCAAATGAACTGTCTCTCCAAAACAGGTAATAGGCTTGATGAAACAAACAAAGGATTTTTCATTAGAAGTACAAGACAAAAACCAAGCACATTAAAGCACAGAGTCCGGTAGAGTGACAGGAAACTTACTCCACTCTGCTAAGTAAAGAGAGGACATAGAAAGGGCACCCAAAGTGCAACACAATGATACAGGAAGGAAGACGGCAAGGAAAGAGAAGGGAGGAAGCCTGTGCTAACAATGCTTCTCTCTGAGACATTAGCATAGACATGACAATACTAACACCGTGTTTTCTAGATTCACATAACATACGTTAATCTCTCCTGCAGCAGGTTCTTTCTCTCTCAAAGTACAAGAACCCCAAGATCCTCTCTTAGAAAACCGTTCATCACTTCCGGGAGAAGGGGTTATTCTACACTGGTTTGTCTCTTAAACCTCAGTAAACACCAAAGTCACTTTTCTTATCGCTACGGATACATCTGTCTGCTTTGTTGCTCTAGACATAAACAAACTGAAATTGGAGTATGCAGCAACCTGTCTGCTGGGTGCCGACCCTCATGGCAGACTGCAGGGATATTCTCTCCACTTTCACTGGTGTGGAATCTTCATCTGACTTCTCTAGAAATGAGAAACTACAGAGTACATCAAATAAAGCTTGAAACGTGAGCTAGCTGGCTTGAGACTATTAACATGCTTCTGACTTGGTGATTCCTATTTCCTTTCAGTTCCACATAAGAGGATTCAGCACTTGAAATACCTGAGAACTGTAAAGCTTTGCAATCTTCATCATTGTTGCAGTTGACTATCAAAATAAAAATTTTAAAGTCAGTTGTTGGAAGGGTTCTGCCCTCTGCTCTCTGGTTCAACTGTTAGATAACAAAATGTACACAACCCACATTAACTTTGTGTCAGAAATAAATTTGGGTAGAATCTCAAGCCTTCCACTGAATCATCTCTGCAAAGATGGCCCATCTTTTCAGCAAGGAGCAGCCTAGAGAAAGCAAAAGAAGACGTGCTGTATTACTTGTGGACAACACAGTAACAAAGGTATCAAACACAGCAATTATTAATTACCTTTCTTTGGCTAAGAGAACAGACATCCCCACTAGTTTAGCAAACTCATCAGCTGTGAGAGAACCCTTTTCAGATACCTGTCAAAAAAACAAACACACAAATAAACAAACTATAGCATTAAAAGCACAATTAAGTTCTCTCAACTACTGAATCAGGTCTAGACATGTGAAATGATAAATTGGTAGCAAATCCTTTGGGAAGACAACTAGTTTGTTTGCATTGTTAAAAAGTACAAATAATTATGAGTATCTCCCCTTAAAAATACCTCTTCTATGTCCTGGGAAAATTGCCAAGTATAAAAAAGGAATGTAGAGAAGAGTTAAATCCTTAAAAAAAAAAAGAAAGAAATCACATGATACCTTTTCCTTCAGATTCTTTTAGAAGATGCCTTGGCACAAAATGAGTGGAAAAATCAGAATAGCTCAGACAGCAGTATGCTGTCACAATCACTGTTTACACAGCCTGACTATACCAAGTGATTCTGCAAACAGTGAAGCCTAAATGAGGAAATAAAAGACCTGTTCAGGGCAGATCACCGATTTAGAAATTTAAGTCATCTCAGATGGATGTGGAGAATTTAATGGGATTTAAAGTATCCCCACTGTCTATTAAAAAAATCCCCAAACCTAAGTACTCCACCCTGCATTACGGCATACTAGAGCAATCAGTAAAAGCCACCATCACACTCAATTGACACAACAGATATAGGTTCAGTCTTGGGACTCAAAACTTTGGCCCCATTCTCTCTACCACACTAGTTAATAGATGCTAAAATGAAACCTTCTCACACAGGTTGGACATGTAGATGCTTAAAATGTTAGATATGAAGTCTAGACTTACTACTGTACTGAGTTTCCCAGATAAACATGTTTTGCTACCCAACAAATTAATAATTCTTCCATTTCTCTGTTGCTTCACAGATTCAAGCAAACTTGTAAATCCAGATGTAGTTGCCATTTCCTGCTTCCCACATAACTGGGTGGGGAGGGGTCTATTGTGCGGCATTCTCAGCAGTTGCCTTTTTACAGAAACTCGGATTAGTCCTAACTTTAGATTTTATGAAGCCAAGTGATAAAAACTGAGTAACAGAAGTCAGCTATACAATCTAATATGCATGGGGTGATTATCTATCTTTCCTTCTGAAACCACCATTCTCATTAAGGGTGACTTTGGGTTCCTTTGACTTCCGTGCCACTTCCTGTCTTCACCACAGCTCTCTCCTGTCTGAAACCCTGTGACCTCCCTTCACTTCTCAAAAGTTTCACATTACTGTACATTATGCATTAAGTACAGGGTGCTTTTGGCCATAAGTTTGATCTCATCTTCCTTTTCCCTATGGGCTAGCCTTCCTCGTTCAAAGCCTCTCCCTTACATTTTTCTATGGAGTCAAAGTCTCATATTACGAAAATTAAAAGAAAAAAGGCACTTCAGTAACAAATCCACCATCTGTTGCTTTTTGCAGGTGACCTCATTTGTTATCAAGAAAAGGTTTTTCCTTTCAAAGAGATAAGCACTCTTACTGAAGGCAACAAATTAACTGGAAACCAAAAATAACCAGAAAAAAAATCCCTAAAATGGAGTAGGTATTTTTTCTGTAAATAGAAGAAAATAAACTGAAAGGATTAACATATTGAAAGATTTAAACATTTTAGTTTTGATAACTTAGGATGGAATCTTTTAGATAGCTAAATACATTTTTCTTTTCTGCAACTCTTTCTGATGAAAGAAAGCTATACGGAAACAATCATGCAAAATGCACTGAAGAGTCTACCTTATGTATCAAGTGAGAAGGTGTCTGTGATCGCTCTACTTTTTCTTGACTGACCAAGTCAAAGTCCTCTTTGACCTGTATGTTTAACTTTGGATACACTGAATCAGCCTTTCCTCAACTTTATGAGAAACAAAAATTACATCTCACTGAAAAACACACAGGAAAATTCATCAAAATAATGGGACAGCAGGACTTCAAAGAGTCCAGAGGTAGCAAGATCACGAAGGTTTACCACACTGAGCAATTTTAACTACTTTTCTTTTCCTTAATTCTATATACACTACTCTCCAACTGAGCACTCTTCACAGCAGCAAACTCAGTACAAGATGTTACACATACAATGTGCTATTTTATGAAATAAACCCAAACCAAGTAACTGCCTATATCAGCGTTTAATAGCGAATTTCACTGCCTTCAAGCACATTGTGTTCAGTGCCTGAAGTCCACTTCTGATAAATTAAGTGCTTATTACATGCCATGAATTTGATCCTACAGTGCAAAAGATCTAGAGGACAGTTGAAGGTTAATGAAGTTTGAAAAGAGATGGAGAAGTGATTTATTTCTTTAGGAGAAAGCAGTGACTAAGATTATTGCCTGCATAGCACTTTGAAGATGAAAAATGTCATTTAAATATTACTGCTAGAAGACTTGGAAGTGGAATATTTCATATTTCAACACCACAAAAGGAAATCCTATACCTCAAGTTTTTATATCTAGTGTGTTCGAATTTCTCCAGCATGGTCAGAACACTGAATGAAATTAAGTACACTTACTGTCTCTAAAGCAGAAGCTACCATTTCCTCTTCGTTATGAGACTGGAGTTCAATCACCATCACACCACTGTCGAATATCCGAAGCCTAAAATCAAAAGAGAGAGTCGAAGTAACTAAAAACCCTGTACACATCACATGTAGTCATATTTCTAATGCATCCACACCTATAACCACGTTACAAAAGTGAAAAAAAAAGCTCTGTAAAATGACCTTAACATTAAAAACATCATCAAAATCTGAAGAGACTGAAAAGAGCCGAGCATACGTCTGGGCTTAGTTAAACATGTTTCCCAGTCTGAAAGAACTCCATTGGAAGCAAAAAGAATACTGTCTTCCTAGAAAAGGGAACCATGTTTAAAATTCCGTATTCTAATGTAGAGTGAATGTTGGTACATACAGCAACAACCTTTAAGCAAAAGGTTACTTTGTTTTTTTAAAAAAAAGCAAAAAAATCTACCACAGGTAAAATATTAAATCATCCAAGCATCACGGTCTGACTCGCCAGTGCCATGTTTTATAAATACTTCTGTAAAGCTCTTACCTTAGTGGTAATTTCAGTGACTCCAGCATCTTACAAGCATTTACTAAATCTTCTGGTGAGAGCAACTATTAAAACAGTAAAACATATTTATTCACAGCTTGCATTTCAAGTATACAGCATAACACCAAAACAGTTTTAATAACCACAGCTATAAAATTCACCAGGCTACAGAATATTGTTAATTTTATTCTTTTCTATTGTCCAGTCTGTTTTCTTGGCTTCTATGCTCCTTTCTGTTTCCTTACTATGTGTTCTATAATAATCCTTCTCGCCCTTTCTTTACAGAAAGAATTGATGTGATATGTAAAAAACACACCACTCTTGTATTTTTCTGTCCTTTCAGTTTTCTTTCCAGATAAGAATGGATTTTCCTTTTTATATGGTATTTTAAAAAGCAGCACACATTATGACAACTTATAGAGGATACATAAACATTACATGGAAGAAGGAGGAAGAAAAAAGTTTAAAACCCCTAATTTTAATAAAGGGATGGTCACTTCATGCTGTTAGACAGGTAGAGTGACCAATTGGTAGGGAACATTTTTACCCTTTTTCCTTAATTACCTTATCACTAAGGTACATTTGATAAAATATTTAATTAAACCATTTTCTCACCTCTAATCCTCGTGCACGATTTACCAGACAGTACACTTCTGTAAGTGACATTATCCCTCCTCGCTCCTGTGTTAAGCATAAGACTGGTAAGAGAAACAGCATTAATCTAGTAAACACAGTATCTCAGCTTGCATTTGACTGATTAAACAGATAAAACAGAGGAGACTGAAAAATACTACCCAGGCAATACCACATATTTCTAGCATGAGAGGCAAATTGCTAGATTATATTGTTCTCTAGTCATTTAAAAATACAAAACACCAATACTACAGCCAAAACCTGTGAATTACTTTGATTTTAAAGTAGAGAATAAATCACAGGAACAAGGAATTTCAATATATTAAATCTATCAATCAATTTACCATTTTTACTTTTCAGACATGCTCAGTTTTCCATTCTGATCATGGCAGGCAGCACATGGCTTTCACAAAAATACTGTAGTATGTATGCTTTTCAGCAGACACACAGCCTTATAAGTTCCAACATGAAACCTAACTTTTTGGTGAGAACCCTGAATTCTCTAATAGCTTCAGTTAAATTAAAATATGAGATACTACTAACGGTAATCTATGTAATAACTCTGTACTACATTTTCAAAATACATACTTTTTAAGCAAAGACTGACCACTTGTATTTTCAAAGTCAGTGTTGTTTCACTCTTTAAAAAAAGTAATATTCTGCAATAAGGTATGAACACAAGGCTGTTCAAATAGAAAAAAGGCTGCTAGTATGTAAGTACCTAAGTACCACTGATATTTCGCAAATTAGAAGTTGAGATGCCATTGCCCCAAAGAAAAATTCTTACTTGGATTTAAACTTTCCTATTCAGAAAGAGGATAGATACACCTTCTATAAATGCTGAACATGAGGCTGTGTCGCTAAATCTGACTTTAAAAAAGATGCTTAGTACTTCAGCCAAAACACATTTACATTAAAAGTTAGCAACATACGGAAAATGCTGGCGCAAAATGAAGTCCTTTACCTCCAACGGTGTCTGCAGTATTCCAGCTAGTTGCTTTGCCAGTTGCATGTGGTAATGCGTACCAGATCCATATGTTTCCCTGGTAACTGGATTAGCTATACCCATACTCAGTAGATAGGACTTGAACCTAATAGTCTATAAAAAACAAATAAATTACTACATCAGCTAGGGAATTATTCTGGTTTTAAAAAAGTCTTTGATTGTATCACTATAAGACAGTTTTGGTGAATAAAGCCATTCAGTTTACTACCACTGAAGTAAATTACTAGCAAAATTACCACACAACAGTGGTAAAATCTTTGCTTTTAAGAAAGGGTCGAAAGAAAAGATAATATCACACAAGTAAGTCACTTTTACTTTACATAGAACAGTCACTTTTACTTTATGATTTTTGGGGGGTTTAACCAAAAAACCAACCATGAAGTGTTCTTTATTAACATTACATGTATTAAAGGGATAGCTTTTTGCTTTGCGTAGGAACACTTCTATTGACTTTAAAAACAAAATTCATTTACCTCATCCTCAGTGATGTCACCTTGTTTTTCTTTAATCTTATGAGCTATTGACTTGGATAACTCCACCATTTCCTTAGCCTATCAAGAAAGACACATAGTTCAGCTCAACTGAGAAAACATGCTTAAAACTGAGAAAACAAGCATAAGTCTGCTTGGATAAGTGACACATGCCATACCTTCTCCATTAGTTTGCTAAGGTCCTCAAAAGCCTGAAATGAAAAGCAGACACTGCAGATCAGTATAATTATAGCATTCAGCTTCACGGATAGTGAGCTGCCACTGTTCCCCTATCCAAGCTATTCTCATAAGAGCTGTCATCCCTTTAGATTAATATGTTACAATGTGAGATACTATATAGAATTGGTTGATATATGTTTTATATCAGGTCTTAAAATCAAAATTATACAATCCATAAACAACAAAGAATGAAGAAAACAACCAAACAATCACATACTTTTCTAGTACCTGAACACTAGTTCAATAGGACTTATGAAATCCCTATGTTAGGAAGGAACAATGAGATACTGAGGCCTAGAAAAGATTAAACTGTACAAGTTTATTATGCTCTCCCAAAAATTGGGGGAAAGCTTCCCGGTAAGTGATGGTAGATTTTCTTTCAACAGTTAACCCTCACTCAAGGAGCATTATTGTTTCTGGCCAACAGCAAGCCAGCTGTAAAGCTACAGAATTACTTCGGACAAGGCAATTTTACTTTTAATCAGTAGATGTTACTAAGGTAGTAAGAAAGTCATTTAGAATAAGTAAGAAAGAGGGTATATGCTTTCACATGTATGCTTAACTGAAGAGAGAAAACCTCCGAAAATGTGTGCCAAGTTCTCTTCATTTAAGTACCGATAGTTAGGAACTGTGGTGCTACCATAGTAAACAAAAAAAAGCAGTTAAAAAATGAATGAAATAAGGTCCACAAGACAAATGATCAGATTTAAATAAACTAAGATAAAAACTAGATAAAAAGCATCCTCTGCAAATTCTAGTTCTTGGACCTAAAAACCAAAATACCTGTTAGAGCAATGGAAAAACAAATTCAATTTTTTTCTAATCTAAGAAAAAAGATCATCATCTTGTTTCCGCAAAAAATATGTAATGAAGTGGACATCCATCATAGGATGACAATTATATCAAGCCTATTAAGCTTAGTAAACTGCAACGGTCTCAAATACAGCAATTCTACACCACCACACAAAGGGCATTTTTAGGCTTAAATAAAACATACTTTAAAAAAAGCTGCGGGTATATTGAAATTCAGAAGTTTTAATGATGATAACCAACTAGCATAAAAAAATCACGGGGGAAGAAAAATATTTAGCAGCTATATTAAAAAGCAACTCTCCTTTCTCTCATCCTCAGCAACACACATTCAGCCTTCTCACCCGCTCCTCTCAAGTATATGCCAGCATGTCCAGGTGGTCGACCTTTTCAAACAACCTTTTTTGAACAACTGCTGTGAGAAATATTCCCGAACCTTTTCAGCTAAAGCTTGCCTGACAGCAGCATTCAACATCTCCAGCCACAAGCAAAGACAGTTGTCCAGTCAGAGTATGTCAAGTGACCAGAGATACCTCTTGCCTAGAGCTTCTAGCCATTACTTCTATGTGATGCTTCTATGTGCTCATTCTGACTAATCCCCCACTAGAAAGACACGTTTTAGTAGAATTTGTGCAGGAAGAACCAATTGTTCTCATCCACATTTAAGCACCTTACTTAGAACCTTACTGGTCTGAGATTCTACATGCAAAGAAAAGTAATGCTTCCAGGAAGGGACAGGATTTGCTTTGCATCTGAATGATGAAAAATGGAGAGACGCCACCATCCTGATGGTGCCAGTGTCTCTCCACTGACTAGATAAACCTAGCCTCTTAGCACTTAGTACCTTAGTCAGGTATTCAAAACAAACTGAAACAAAGCTGGGTCCAAGAGGAGAAAACAAAATATACCACCATATATTTCAACAATAATCTACCACTATCAGAACAAAAGCTTCTCTTTGGAATATTTCTTCTTACTTCCTAATCTACCAAATTCAATCATGTACAATAGATTTCCCAATCTCTAGTGTAAATCAAAGTCCTCCTACTGTACTTGCATACGATATCAACAAAAAGTTTTCTAACAAGGCTCTTCCCAGCTTATTTCTAATCTCTGTAACTTGCATGAAAACATAATTCATCAAAAGAACCCTTGATGTAACTAAATAAACAGCGTGCTGTGTCTAACTCCTTCTCTGCCTGACTCACTGAGGGCAGGCCTGGAAACAAAGGGGAATGTGCACACACCTAACAGGAACTTCCTCAGATAAACAAAAGGCTAAAGAACTGGATTCTTATCAGCAGTGAACAGCAGATGCAGGAAGACTTTTCCTGGAAGCCAGGGCACCATTTTTTAAATTAAGTCATTTATAACATTTAAAGCTGGAGGAAGGCAGGATTTTACAAGTCATGGTTTTCCTCTGTCCATACAACATGTACAAATGGATTTTTTTTTTTACTCTCCAACAAAGCTACTGAAGGAAAAATTAGCCCAACAATACCTTTTGAACTACATACACACACATGTAACCACAATATCTTTTGAACTACACATAGAACTTCATTCATTGCATTATTCGTAAACAGAAAAGAAAAAGTTTAATGCTAGCAGTATCTGAAACAGCATGTGGCCCTCAAAGGTACTGTCATGTTCTTATGTATCAGAGCGGTGAATGCCTTTTTCATTGTGGCACACTGAATCCCGTAAAGCTGTGCCACAAGAACGAATCCGTTACGTGTAGTTTATGAGTAATTCTGTATTAATCTGTACTACTATGACAGCACCAGACTATTTTTGAGGATATTGCTCCTAGGCATATATGAATAAATTAATTGCCTCTGTTGTCCATCAATATTGGCATGTGAAATTCAAGTACTGTGCTGTTTCTGGGCAAAAGGGTGGTTGCCATCTAGTCCAGGTATTTCACACAGATACTTGTTAACATCTTGCTGATGCCTGGACTGCAGAACATTTTGCTCTAATTATAATCCTAAACCTAACTTTTTAAAACTGAGTATTTACAAGATGAAAGCCTAATTTCACCAGAGTTATGTGCTGACACTTGGATCAGCATATTCTTTTTAATATATATTAAATTTTCAATTGAAAATTAGCTGTTAAAAAGGGAAGAAAAAAACCCCAAACTTATAATAGTCTCTTTCTACAGATGCCTTTGTGTTCTGCATATCCCGATGAAAAGTCTCTGAATTCAGATTTCTAATTCTACCATAATTAATTTTATAAATACACACCATTAGTTTCAAAGAACAACCTTCTTGAAAGGAACTGTTTAAATGAAGTACCTTTACATATATTGAAAAGCCAATTAAACAAAGTAAATAACTGTAAATTATACACTCTTAATTCAGACTTCTCAACAAAAACAATAAATATTCTCAGCAGTGCTTAAAGGAAAGTGTGAATGAATGTAAATGGTTCAGGCAGTTGACCTTGAAACTCCAGTAGCATTTACCTCAGAAATGTTTTTGTCAGTCTCTTTTCTTTTTTCCTCTAATTTCCTTTCGATCCCTACAATTCCTACAGCCCTTATTCTTCCTGCCTGCAAAAGAAAATAATGAAATGAATCAAAATAGGAAATGCTAAGCTTTCTCACCCCCCTCCCTCCATGAAAAACCTTGCATTGGAACACAGGAAATGTTTCCCCAAAGAGCTGATATCATGCATACAATATTTCATATGTTTCTCAAAAGTATTGTTTATTTTTTGACAGTGGTTTAAAACTAAGTGTAAAGCATGTATAAGTCTGCTGTAATACTCAGATAATAAGATTATTAGATTGAAGCTAATAATATGAAGATGCTTAATAGCCTGATCCAGACTGAGCATTCCAGCTCATCTAAACTAAAGACTGCCAAGTCCATATGAACATCTGTACTAGAGCTGTGGAAACACATGAGTGTATCTAAATATGACCACCTCAAGAAATCTAGCCTGAAGAAACAGTCACAGAAACAGAGTGTTAAGTGCAGTCTAATTTACTTTGCTGAGAAGTATCAGTATGAAGGCAATGGTGAATCTTTTGTTTGATGACAAATGTGTTTTAGAAGGGCTGGTACTTCTGTGGCAGTGATGCCAACCCTCAAATCTATGACTGCAAAGCTTAACACTGGTGTTAATGATTTGCTGTGACTTAAGAATAAGAACAGAGGTAACACATTTTCATTAAGTGATCTTGATGCAGGGTACAGGCTTCCTCATTAGTCCATCAAATGCAACTATGCTTATAGGTACTACATTTACAAAGGCGGACATACGTGATTTGACATTGAACAATGTTTAAAACAACCCATTTCATTTGTAGTATTTTATGTTCAATATATTCATATATTTAACACGTTCATATACAGAAACAGCCACATGTTTATCAGAGTTTACAGCTTAGAAGCATGCAGGGAAAGGCAGCAATCTAACATAAGATAAAGAGATTCCCCATAACTGTCCATTTGCTATATACATTTAAATCAAACATATATAGATTCCAAACAGTTATATAAAAGTTATGTTATATATTTGACTTCCAGACACAAAAAAATAAAAAACCCCCAGAAACCATGATTAAGACCAAAAATCCTTCAGCTTCATTAGATCTCTCATGCTGAACAAAATTATATGCAAATATTTGCATAATTTTATATGTGCACATGTGTGTCTGACTTGATAAAAAAATGGAGCTCATTATCAACTATTCAAATCTAAACACACTCAAGGAAGAGAGACCACAGTGTTCTCTATCAGGTGAAAACTGCAAAGAAGAAACTATCTTATGCCAGTAAAGAAACAGGTGCAGTAAAGCTGAATTTCTACATGTGCCCACAGTGATGGTTAGAGAGGCATGCTGGGGCAGTATATGGGGGCAGCAAGAATTGGAACAAAAGATGATATACAGATTCTGCACTTAAGCGAAACTAAGTGACATGTGACATACTGAAGGATATCAGAAGCTCTGCACATACCTGTGGATCCTTGTTAGCTGGAATGGTCTGACCAGTAGGCATGTTCTCCCACCGCCTTTGTGTGATTTCTTCTGATAACCGTCTATAGAACTGCAAACATTAAAGAGTGGCAATACATGTTTCATAAACCACGCAGAGCACTTCTGGGTATGTTTAGCATCTTGGTGGTAAATGAAACAAACTTCACTACAAGACAAAGCCTGATAACACCTACACATCCATGGTACAACATCCATTATCTGGAAATTCTCAATGTCCAGCCTTCAAAACTATACATATTAGAGGAGAAGCCGTGTAGTCACTAGTTAAACTTGCATGAGTACTTCTATTACAAAATGGTTGGGTTTTTTTTCAGATATTCAAAATGTTCCAAAACATGCTGAAGTTAAAAATGTCAAGGTTTGCTCAAAGGCATGCTTTTAAAAGGAAGGAAACTTGATCAATCCAATTACTATGGAACTGTTAACTCAACAGTATAAAGACAATCACATAGATCAATTACACTTATTTGTTTATTGCTAATACCAGAAGGTGGTATTAGTTAGTTATCAGTAACTGTATCCCACTGACCAAAATCCAGAAGGAAAATCTATTCCATTCTTATGGTCGTGCAAAGTTCACAGGAAACCATTCTAAAGTCATAAAGAAAAGATATGAACTGTAACTGATATGCTAGGTAACCAGTAAGCATAGCAAGTTTGATTCTCAGACACAAACATTAACGTTAAAATAAGTAAGATCACGATTAGGCAAAACACCTACACAGTTATAACCAGGAATCAATACACACGTGTCCTAAGCTGAAAACTGCTCACAAAGAAATGAAAGTGAGTCTGATCAAGCACATGCATTTGTAAGATATTTATAACTAATTCAAGTTGAAAAGCTGATTTTCTGCAGCGAAGAGGTATGGCTTTTTTCATATTTCAAAGTTAAAGTTCTCAGTCTCTTGAAGTGAGGATCTTATACTGTGAAACTTCTTTATGGAGTGCGATGTCTTTGTTTTACAGGATAAGCCTTCTTTTAAAAACATATTACATTTTTTATTAGAATGCTCAAAGCCTTTGAGTTTTGGTTTAAGTAAAAATATAAAGATTTATAAACCATAAAACGAAACAAAGCTCTGAGGCAATAAAAAGTGTTCAGCAATAAAATCAGCGAGATGATTAGGAATAAGTTGCTTGACTCCTTTTCAGAAGAGGGTGAGCCACAAAGAAGCATCTTTTACTCTGTTAAACATCTAACGGGTTTCAGAGATGTCATTTTGGAAAATTCTGTGTTCAATTTAAAAATTAAAAAAACCTAAGTATTGAGATTATATTAAAACGACTAAAAGAGGGACAAAGCCTAATAACACCTTCTGACATTTTTGGAACTCTGTTTGCATTATTTAATCAAAGTATAGAACCCTGAAGCCTCATGATGTTTCTCTTCACAAGGATATATTGAAAAAGCCCCACCTCAAAAGTAAACATGGAAAGATCATGGAAAATTATCACCAACACAACAAGAAGAGAAAGGCATGTCCAAAGACTTGATGAGCTGGGCTTGCATGGTACGAAGCTTACCTCAATCTGTCCATGTTCTTTGAAAGAAAGTTTGATGTAGGAATATTTGCTGTTTTGGAATGGACCAGGCTCTTTGTTTGAAGGAGCAGGATGAAGATGAACTACTATTTTGGCACTAAGAAAAAGTTAAAGAAAAAGAGAAGAAGCAGTTTTCTGTAATATCTAAAACAAATTTTTCTACAAAGTTAACCATTTAATCAAAACCTGTATTTTTATCTCACATAAGAGCTAAAGTACATCAAACAATGCTTTATGTTTGTGCATCAATACAACAGTATTTTGACTCAATAATATTATAGCAGATCTTACATAAAAATTACTATAACCTCTAAAACAGCAACATCTCACAAATTTAAAATGTACCCACCATCAATTCTTAAGAAATTAACAACAAATGTTAACATTTTGAGCAATAATTTATGAAAAATCATCCAGCTGAGATAAAAACTAATTGTCAAATAGTAATTTGATTTGGCTTTTGACTTGCAATAGCTACTGCCAAAATACACTATCTTTGTCGCAGGAAAACAAAAGGTCTCAATATTATGTTTAATCTATCCCACTTGTATATGTCACTTGTGAAAATTGTATGTGAATTTGTCCAAAATCAACATTCAAAGGTAATGTGTATGGAAATAACAGTCTAAAATGACACCTATCACCAAAACAAACCTTGAGATAGCATTATTTTAGGAACATAACAGACTGCTGTCACAGCAGGACTGTGAGTCCACCATTCCCATTTCACTTTACTGATTTTTTTTTCATCGGTCTTTGTTTACTTGACTTCTCCAGCATTAGTGAATTACCTGATTTCTTCTGGATACCCCCAGCATACTACCTTACCCATCTGACTGTAGGCTACAAGCAGATGTCAACTGCATGTGTATTTCTCCAGTTAGTATTTTCTCTCTTTTTCTCATGAAACTAACCATCTCTAGCTTTTCCAAGCTCAAAATCAATCATATGGCCATGAAAAGTTATGTAATACAGGATCTGGCAGAGTTTCTATCCCCAACCGGTTCTGTGGCACAAAAGAGTAAAATTAGCTTTCAAATTTAGATCCAGCAAAATCACTGTTGTAATTTATGACTAACCAAACGAAAATAGCAAGCTAGATCACATGCTTGTTTAGTCATTTCAAGGCAGTTATTTAACAAACTACATCAAACACTGCTTTGTCATGACTCTCTAACACATTTGATCTCAAGTGAGGAAGGCAGATCCTTGTGGCTGTCAATCTGGAAACTTAGATTGCAGATGGAACCTACCATGAATTGATATATAGTCTTGGGTACCTCGCATAACATGCATTTGCTAACTACCCATGTGAAAAAAGACCATGACTGTCACCTTACCTTTTTCCTATCCCAGCTGCCTGCTCTTCAATAAAGACAATCTGAGACAAAGGTACAGCAATGCAGCACTCCTGAAATAATCAACACAAACACAGGTGAAATTAAAGCCATATCCTGACCATTCTTTAAAACCAAGTGTTCTCTTTGCCAATTTTATGGATTTCCACAGGTGCAGCCTGAGGCACTCCACGTGAAATAAGATGGTAACAACAGAAACAATCTATTCGTTCAAACTGAGTTCTACGTAATCAAAAAAACTTAAGTGTCAATGTGTCAACTTTATGTTAACCTTATGACCTCAAGCTAGATTCATAGAAGGACTCACACATTTAACAGATATTTAGTGTCAAAGTTCAAAATTTAAACACTAATTTCCACACTACTGCAGTTTGTCACTGTAGGTGCACAATGCTCATAGGTTCTTAACATTTTTCTGTTGATGCTACTTTGGAGCTAAAACACTACCCCAAAGCACCAGTCTTTTAAGTGCTGAACATCTGAAAAACTAGACTATTCTCTGAGTGGAAAAGGAATTACTCCATCTATCCCGCACTCAAGGACTTAATCCAGCAGTTGATGCATCTCAACACATATTTACTGGAGCGTGGTTTAGACAAAATAAAGCAGAGCAAGAAACGACAGTGTATCCATCTGTGGGAGACTAATCTACCCAGGCTAAACTCTTTCTATATGCATTTGAGACAGAAATTGCTCAAGTAATTTAAAGCATCTAATTAGGTGCCTGGTCTTGTTTTGATGAATATTCTTTGGTGAACATCCTCTTCCACACAATAGCTTGGTGATCAACACAGTCAACCAGAATACAGGAAACAAAGGTTACATTTCCTCTTTCAGCCTCTCTATTCCATCTGCCATGAGGGTGTGCCTAGCACCAAGTTACAATGAGCACTGTTATGGGACTCTCACAATCCCTACTACCAAAACTGTTCCTCTTTGCATGGAATAATTAAATACTCATTAAATACTCATTAAAGTGGGGATTAGGGAAGTATACATGCAGAAACTCTAATGAGCAAATCTCTCATTGGGATAAAACATGCGTTCCTGTTCTAGAAACTCTTAACAGAAGCTGAAAATGACAAGAGAGTCCAACTATACTGTTGCATGTACACTGTCAAAATGGTTGATTCATTTAGTTTGCAGCTAGAAAGTCATGAACTTATTGCAAGCACAAGGACTTAAAATTACCCCTTCCTGGTGAGAGAAGCAAGAGGAAGGGATACAAAGAGAGAGATGTGTTAAAAATGCTGAGTTTATTTGGATTTTTTTTACTAACGTCTCATGCTCACGTTATGCATGTTTTTATGATTTAAAATGTTGTACAAATCTAGCTGTGTAACAAACTTAAAAGAATTTTTTTTCCTTTGGAAATCTCCGTATTTTCTATACTGTTCAACTGCAGATGGTATGTAACAACAGCTATAATACACAGCTGTTTTTGTAAAAAGGTTTGCTACATTAACCTAATGACAAGTGCTCCATTTATTACTATGTTTGCTGACACAATAAAAGGGCACTCTCTCTGCAAGTTTATTCTAGGTAAGCTAGCTAAGGTTTCTAAGGCTGATGCTGTATCACAGCTGAGCTTAGCCAACAACTCACTGTGAAAATAAAAGGGCTTTGTGCTCCTCATGTGTCAATCCTAAAAGTCTGAGAAAGAACTGGCTTAATTTATCACACTAACAAAGTTATTGGTGTACCATGGATTTAAAATTACAAAACAAACCTGGCTCCACTGAGACAGAATTGGTCTGTACTAGATCAGAACTGGGTAATTTTTGCTTATTTCCTGGCCATATGTTTCTCTCTCTTCTCCTGTCAGAATCTTTGCTGAGTTTAATTAATTTGTTAAAATAAAACTATTTTTCTTATTCTCCAAGTTTCTCCTCTGCTGATTTAGCAAATTCAATGACCTTGATACAATGAAATCATGTAAAAGGGGCCTGTAAGAAAGATGGGGACAATCTTTTTAGCAAGACCGGTTGTGACAGGACAAGGAGTAATGGTTTTAAACTAAGGGAGGGTAGATTTAGATTGAATATAAGGAAGAAATTTTTTACAAGGAAGGTGGTGAAAACTGGAACGGGTTGCCCAGAGAAGTGGTAGAGGCCCCATCCCTGGAAACATTCAAGGTCAGGTTGGAAGGGGCTCTGAGCAACCTGATCTAGTTGAGGATGTTCCTGCTCACTGCAGAGGAGTTGGATTAGATGACCTCTAAAGGTCCCTTCCAACCCAAAGCATTCTGTGATTCTATGTAGCCTATGAGCAGGGGAAGAAGTCAAACAAGACTGCTGGGAAAGAGAAAATGTGGACATGGAGGACAGTTTTGTTAGACTTGCTGAAGCCATAATGCTTAATGTTAGTCCAAGCAAGTAAAACGTCCAAGTGAGAATATGAGAGGTGGTGCACACTGCAGTACATGCCCACCTGTCAAAAATAGATGCTGATGAAGAAATAAGAGGTGATTCACACAGACAGATTAGCACAATTATTATCTCATGCTGACAGTGCCAAAAAATGTTAATTTATACAGAATAGCTCATGATCTGGACAATCAACCCCTGACTTCTTTACCAGTAACCCCACCCTGGGGACCAGCTCTCAAAACATTTTGAAAAATTTGTACTAAAAATAGTTCTGCTGATACTGCAAACAATCCCTAAGGAAAAAATACACTGATTTGCCAAATTAAGAACATCCTGGTGACGCTGCCTTTAGAAGGCTCGTAGTAGCTCCCTGCTTTGGAACAAGGATGTGGTATTTGGCAGGGAATGGCCTTTGGGCATGAGATGTGCTTCAGCTATCCTTATGCAAAAACTAGTCCAGTGGAATATAACAGGCCTTTCAAAAGTTGTCATCTGCACATGCTTTGTCTAAACTTTGGCTTCCAGAGCTAAATTTCTAAAAGATGGCAACTAAAGAAAGAATAATCCAACCTGGTTCTGAGGACTTACTGTAGCTGCAAAGCGGTGAACGTTGTCACAGTCTATGATTAGATCTTTGTATGAGTTTGCAGTCTTTCTCACCCATTTCTAGCCTGCAATCTCAGGCAGTGACTTGATGATACAAAGCATTCAGCTGCAGTATTATACCGTAGTTCTGCCACTGCCACTTAACCTCTAAGTTAATTCTCCATAGTGGTACAGACAAATGTTCTGGCTTATTGAAGAGATGGTTCAGCACAGGAGCAGGCAGTTGGGAGGATGACCCATGCAAAATAATACTGTCACCAAGCACATCCTATTATCATATCATTGTCTGGAACTATAACGTGGAAGCAGAAGACAGGGAAACTTGGATGTGAAAACACAGTGAGGAAGAAAAGCTCTTGCTAGACAAGGAGCATGGGAGAGGAGCTCACATCATGATTTGTCTGGCAGATTCAACTTCAGTCTCAAACCCAACAGTTTATAGTGCAGGATACCAGCGTCTTTACTCCTCTGTTTTTGTGCCATAGAAAAGAAAAAATTATATCACTCATTCCCATTCCTCCTTATCTATACATGATCATTTTAGCAGAACTGGATGAGAGAACATTCCTTGCACATAATTTTCTTTCCACTGTGAGTGAAAAAATGGACTAAACTTGTAAGACAAAACATAAGAAAGAAAAATCTCTCTTGTGTGCAGTCTTTTCATAGCAAGCTACCTGTTGTTTATCACAGAATTTACAACTGAATGACATAAAAGAGACAGAAGTGGGACTTACATGATTCTTCTGATCCCTCCAGATTAGTCTGTGTGTGCTAAGCAGTAATACTCCACTATCAAATTTCAACTAAACAGGAAAAATAAAACAGATCAATAACAAATTCAATCAGTAAGTTGCATGAATACTGGAAACATTACACATTACCACAACATAGCAATCAGATTCAGCAAGCCAGTATTTTAAGAACACTGGCTTTTTTCAGAAAACACAATACATGAAGTTTAGGAAACAATGGAAAAAATTAGTATAAAAGGCTTAGATAGATATACATAAACTTCCTTTTTTAACTGCATAAACTTTCCCCCAGGAAATCCTGAAGGATCCTCCCTCCATATGCTGTGCAAGATATACAATCATTCTTAAATATCATATTTTAAACAGGGTTATTGGCTTTGGAACACTATTTGCTGACAAAGAAAGTAAAAGTTACACAAAAAAGCAAAGCAACCGTTGCCATGCAGAGTCTGAAACCTTCTGGCCTATCACATAGGAGTATTACTTCTATCCATTTTACCGCTGAAAAATTGTTTATCCAACAGCCATCAGTATTTGGAAAAATCTGTGCTCGTAAATTGCTTCCTACTTGTAGAACTGGAGGTATATTTTTACAGCTTTTTTTGACAGTATGCACCTACTCTGGTGAGAAAAAATGAGGAGATCCCAAGAGTTACACTAGACGTAAAGTAAAGCAGTACTTCGGTAGGCTCAGATGAAAGCAGAAGGCAAGACAGCACGATTCACAACCAGTGTTAAGAAGCATTTTATGGCTACCAGGATGATTCCAGGGTGAATTGTACACTGTGCCCAGCACAATAAAGCCAAAGAGCGCAGCTTGCTGTTCGGAGCAACACGGGGTAGTGCCTAGCCCCTGACTCAGGAAGTGACAGACCAAGCAGTGGACATCAAGTTTCATGACAGTGACACCAGCTACACCCACCCTGTGGGGATGCCAACCCTCCCTCCGTGTGGCACACACCGTCCAAGGCCTTTCTCTGTCCCACAAAACCTGGATCTCCTCCTCAACGATCTTCTCGCAGAGCCAAACCCCGTCAGACCCTGCAGCAAAGTGTACTGGTCCTCCCACGCCTCTGAGACTGATGCTCCTCCACAGCCCAGGCCGCTTCATACCCCTCGTCTCGCCCCACGGCCGGCCAGGCCTCCTCGCACCCCTTGCCCGATACCACCCTTAGTCACGTTCCTCACCACC